GCATGGCAACACCTTCCCTTCTTACTTCCTTCAGCAAGCACTGGCTTTCCTCCTGGAGATCCTGAGGTCCAGCCTGCTCTGCTGGTAGCTGATGACAGGCCCCAAGTTCACTGAGGGAGCCCTAAGTTGTATTAGCACAGGGGAATGAAAAGGGGCTCTCCCAAGGACCACATATTGGTCTGGCTGCAATTCATGCAAGGCTGATGACACCAGGTAACAGAGACCTTCAGCTTCCCCTTTTTGGCAGGCCCATGGCTGGGGAAGTGTTTTGTCAGGTGATAGCTGTGGTCCTTTCTATAAGTGACTCCTAAATTATTTAAAGACCCTCATGTTAAATACACATACAGTGCCCCACATGATCTTTTCCAAGCAGACAGTTCCAGTCTCAGATTTTTAGAAATACCCAGATGAACCTTAACCCAACCCTATTGGTCTTGCTTCCTGGAAGGAACAGTCAAGTCTTTTTAAACCCACTCACAAAGATGAAACCTTAAGGCAAGAAAACCCTTAATTTCTCACAGTGCAATGTACAATTAAAGGGGACTTTGCACCAGGAGGTCCTTAGTCAGACTTTGGATGGATATGAACAAATAGGTCAATTTAGCTGGTTTCTTCCCCTCTACCCCCAGATCAGGGAAAAGTTCTCTGCTGTCACCTCAAATATTAACAGCATTATCAAAGAAAATTAATTAAAGTGCTGCATTTTGCATTTTCTTGGTTTTTGTTGTTTTGGGGTTTTTTCTTCTTCTGTATTCACATACTGAGTATCTGCATCCAGGTTTTGGTGTCTATTACTAGCTTGAGAAAAATTTCCTTGTATTACTTTGAGGGCTGGATTTTCCAAAACAGATGAAACCCTGTTCCTCTAAAATGTCCAACAGAGTTTTGGTGTTTATTTGCATGGAGCAGAAGTCCAGGCTGGGCATGCAGGACTGCACACCAGCAGGGAGAGGTAGTTGGCTCTGGGTTTCTCTGAGTACACACCCAAAACTCATCTTGAGCAGGTGAAACGCAGGTGAGTGCATTTGTGATTTACCTTTAAAAACAGAATAGGGACACTTACACTATCACCCAGTAAAAGCAAAAGTCTTGCATACCTTGCAGACATTGGGACTGCTTGTTTCTATACCCTTCCGGTATATTCATACAGTTTTGTGTCTGCCAGGGCTTTTTCTTTTCTGCACTAGTGCTACCTGAAATTCAGCATTTTAATTCTCAGAGACTGATGCTGATTCCTTCCTTGGCTCTGTTTTTCACTCTAATCTTGCTTGAAGTTTTCAAATTGATTGCTCAATCCTTCTTCAGCTGGAATAAAAGTATTCCAAATTCATCAGGTAATACAATATCTCCATAAAGATGTGAACAATTTAAATTATTTGAAATCTGGCCTAAGACATCTGGGATGCTTGTAACTTTAATCTGAATTTTTACTCATGAGTAACAAGAAGAATGTCACCTTTTACACATATTTGACCTCCTCTCAGATTTTCTGTTTGACTTTGTCACTGAGTGGCTCCAAAAGTAGAATTTAGTCATGAGATCCACTAATCTTCTGTTTAAAGGTATGTTAAACCAGTTAAGCTGGCTTTAAGAAAGCCACAGGAACGATAGAAAATCAGCTAAGCAGGTCAACAACTTGAAAGTATTAAAGGTAATTTAATAGTAAATTTAAATTACTTGAGTTCACTGCTTTCAAAGTTGTATGTGATACAGCTGGGGCTAAGGTTCCTGCAGGTGCTCTCAATGTAGGGCAGGGCAGATGTACAGGTGGGACTTGACCATGTATTCTTTGTGTATACAGTGAAAATACATCTTCCAATGTTTTTAAGCCATGAGTAAACCTAAAAAACAAGAGAAATAATTTAAAATAGTTTTAAAATTTTTGTAGCTCTCCCCTAAACAAAAAAAAAAAGGGCATAAACTTGAAGATGCAAAATAGATTTTTTTTTTCCCCTAGAAGTGACATTTTTAATATGGTTTTAATCTGTTTCTCATGATCCATTCCTTTACAAGCAGACTGGGAAAATGAGGTAAAAGAGGATAAAAGAAAAAAGCCAACAACTTACTTGGTATGTTTGCCAAAAATCTATTCTGAACACAACCCTTTCTTTCCTTTAGAAATGTAGCTGTAATTGTTTAGGAAGCAGTACTCCTGACATTTCACAATGAATACAAATAAAAAAGAAAACCTACAAACATTTACAAAAACATGCTTACAATAAAGCTATAGAGGCCTTTAAAATGTCAAGTATTTTTGGTAAACTCCCTGTGAGGTTGGGTTTTTTTGTTCACGGATGGAGAAAAATTCATAAGCTTAAATGTGCATCAGCACTGCAAATATTTGATTACCCCTGACAGTGTATTCATTAGAAATTTGTTTAGCTTTTCTTTAGACATTTCAAACAATAGTTTCCACTGCTTCCTTGACAGACCAAAATATTCCACAGTCTACCAAAACAGCCAGAAAGACTTGCTGATCTTCAGCCAAAATTCCCTTTTCTTTACATCATCTCACTACTCCTGATTATACATGTCTTTGTATATAAAGTTCTCCCACAGCAAGAATTAGACTCTTTCAAAATACTTGCCACCAGAAATGTTGCACTTCACTCATCTCCAGCCTGCTCTTTATATAGCTGTCAGCTGGCTTCCTCATGACTATACCTTCAAATCTTCTATTTTTGTGTTTTTAAATGCCTTCCAGCTGTCAACACCTTCCCACTAGCACAGGGCTAAGTGGGCTAGAGGGAGTAGAGATATTGGAGCCATGTGTGAGTGGTGCAGTAAGTCTGAGGCACTGGAACTTCTGCTGATGTTTACAAAAAAACCCTCTACCCTCAAAGAAGGGATGCAGACACTGTGACTTTACATGTTAAAGTTTGTATCATTTCCAAACATAGACTGAATCAGTAGTATTTGCTTAACTCTACAAAAACCGGAAAGAACCAAGTGGGTTTTTCCCACTTCTCTTCCCAAATCATAGAATGGCTTGGGTTGGAAGGAACCTTAAAGATCATCTATTTCCGAATCCCCTGCATGGGCAGAGACATCTCCCACTAGACCAGGTTGCTCAGACCCCCATCCAGCCTACCCTTGAACACTTTCAGGGATGGGCAATCTTATTGTCTCTTCTTATATTAACTTTGTAGACATATAATCCAAACTCACCCTGCATAAATGAATAATAAAGTATAATAATATATAGCATTAATGTATAAGCACAATAAAGCATAGTAAGTAACGCATTTGGCCACAAAATTTGAAAACAGAGTAGCCAAATTTTGCAACTTGCCTAAAACATTCTTGAAAAATTGGAAAGTGTCAAAATTTCTCTCTTTAGAGAAAGAAACATACCTGTAAACTGCAAGCTGCATTTGCCAAGCAGTAGAGAAATGTATTTTCTGGTAATTAACACATCAAGAAAGCTAATCACATCCTGATGTAAATAATTTTGCCTGCAGCTTCCCTCTTCTGTGCAGTGCAAAGGAACATGCTTTCTTGACTTAAAAGATACAACTGTAGTGGTGTCTTCGTTTTTAAGCATTTGTAGATATCTCCACTGGTAACTCTTCATCTCTGCTCCTGCTTCTTCGCTGGATCATCAGCATTCTTCATTTACTAATAATTTAAACCTTCATTTACTAATAATCTCTCCTGACCCTGCAGCATGATGTAGGGGAACACGGAACTTTCATGACAATTTAAGCAGCCTCCAGTGTGCTCATTTGCTGTGAATTTTTTTTTTGCCTTTGCTACTCTGAGGATGGAAAGTTGGTATTTTGACTTTTGAGGAGTAGATGGCAAAGGCAGTTTGCTCTTTCCAGCTTCAGTTAAGTTCAAGCTTCCCCAGCCTCTGAACAAAGATCTTCTCCCTCTAAAGTGAAAGATGCTGATTCATCTGTCCTCAAGCCTGTTTTCAAAGGCAAGGTGACAAAAAAGGGTGTTGCCTCTATTGCAAGGTTATGTGGATTTAAAAAAAGTTCCCTTCCATGACCTGTGTTGCAGGCTTTATCACTAATACACTGAATCTGATGGGTACAAATGAATGGTAAATGACATGTAAAGTCTACTGTAAGGCCAAAATGCGAAAGGGTTTTGCTTTGGAGGAGGAGGTGGGTGGTTGTTTTTTAATTTCTTCTAGCCTGTACATTTATATCTCAGCAGAGTTCATAAACCTCTCTTATTAAGGTACTATGTGCACAGAGTTTAAAAGCTCATGTTTGACTTTAAGGGACCTTAACTGTTCATCTTTCCTGCTCCATCCTTGTTGTACATCCAAAATTAGGAGTAACCACTTCCTTTGCATTTTACACCAAGAAACAAATAGAGCCTTCCCATTACATGATTCCTAACTAGAACTGAAGAAACAAATTAACACGAAAACCACAAAATAATTTCCAGTCTTCTTTTGGCTTCTGTACAAGAAACTGAGAATTTGATGATGATTTTCTCAAAACAACTGTGTAGACTAGATTCCATAGCAAATTTTTGCTTCTAAAGTAAATCAGGTCAGTTCCCTGCACAACTAGGGTAATAGTTAATGAGGAAAATTACAACACCTTCGCAGTTTTTCCTCATTACTACATGATCATTAAGGTCTTTTAAAACCCAAACCATTCTGTGGTTCTGTTACAGTATATAACTTTAGATTTGCACTTTGGCATTTTAGAAATGGCTTGAGTCTGGAGTCACAAGAAAAGTAAATGAAAGCTGAAACTCCTTAACATATCTGGAAAAAAATCAAGCCAATCTTTTGGAGATACACTAGGAGGAACTACGGGTTTAATTGTCATTGCTCCTGTCTGAATATTGTTGGTTGCAGAGCAAAAAAGCACAATTAATGCAACAATTGCCAAGTATGAGACATCATGGCTTTGTGTAATATGACCTTTGCATTGTACAAGTATGTGTTTCAAAACCAAGCATATGGTGTGCTTTTGTAAAAAGGAGTCGAGTTACTCATATTTAAAGTGACATGGTGTCTTCCCTTTCAGGGATCCAACATGCCCCAGTACAAGTTGACATACTTCAATCTGCGAGGACGAGCAGAAATCAGCCGCTACCTGTTTGCCTATTCAGGCAAGAAGTATGAAGACCACAGGATAGAAGCAGCAGACTGGCCCAAAATCAAACCAAGTAAGTAGGATGGAATCTTAGAGTCAAACCTCTATTACTGTAGGGAGCAGTTAAATTTGGTATAATTTAACTTGTCCATAATGTTCACAGGGACCTGAATGATAAATAGTCAAACACCACTGCCCTCCGAGTGGCATCTGAAGACCATCTGTGGTGCTCAAATTTGGAAAACACTGGCTAACAACATACAGAGAAGAGTGCAAATGAAGGAAGCAGTGGAAATGGGATGTTTTCAGTTAGGGATGGCTGACATGGGAAACCTTGTCTTTTTAGGAGCTTAAGCCTGTTGACTATGTGGCATATAGCTTTATATCTCTTCTCCTACTGCAGTTCTCAGAGAAGCAGGACCAAAGCTAAAGCCAAGATTGAGAATTCAGAGGAACAGAGGAAAGCTCTGCATAGGCCTTTTTAATATTTAACTATGCACGTATTCACACATACATACACACACCTCTGTCCTGAAATGAAGCTCAGAGAATATTAGCAATATATAACACCATGAAGATTTTTGCACACTGATGTTTAAGTAAGATACACTAAAAAGACGAAGCATAAATAGTAACTTAAACGCTACAGAGGCATTCACGTCCTAGGACAAGATGTTCTAAAAGGAGACCAATTAATAGATATCAATGATGTCTCCAGCATCAAAGCCAAATCCTTCCTATACTTTTCCTCAGTGTTCACATCATGAACTCCCGAGTGAAGCTTTCTATGCATGGTAGTGGTTCACTGCAGTGTATGCCCACTGGCAACATTATTAGCACCAAAACACAAGGAGGAGAGGCACCTCAGTAGCCCCCCATCTAAGCCATGCAGTTTGGAGCTATACCCACTGCATTAATCCATGTCGGTAAAGCAATTTAACCTTTGGACATATTTTTTTCCCCTTCTGTGATGTGAAAAGTTTTTAGCAGGCTTAGCAAGGGTTAAGATTTTTAATTTTCTCTGTATAATTGCCTTTCATAACAGCCCCTACTACGACCAATCCCTAGATGAAATTCCAAAGCAGTTAGGAAGTTTAGTAAAATGTGGGAGCTGCTGCTCTCAGATTAGTGAAATCATCTGTGCAAAATTTATGCTGATCTAGGAGTTCTTTGAACTTCTGGCTGCTGTAGACAGTGTGCTTCAGTCAGTCAGTGACCGGGAACTGGAATGCATTGTGCTATTTGACCAGGAAAGTGTACACTGACAAAGAAATGGTTGGATGCATGTTTGAAAGTGTTATCACATCTCATACCAGAATGCTAACATTTTGCTTCTGGAAGGCTCCCCAAATCCTGGCTCAATCAGCAACATAATGATGGGATTTGCCACCAGTGGCATTTACATTGTAGACAATATAAAAATTAAGGGGTTCATGGACTATAATAATAGTAAAGGTATCTTATTTGGATGCATAACATTGTAATGATGCTAAGTAAATTGCCTGGAGGTCAACTAACTGATGACTACATCCTTCTCCTTATTTGTGAGGCCATTCTTACTCGTGTTATTTCCTCACAAAATAACCTCCCACGGGCAAATCATTCAGCAAAACTCTAAATTAAAGGTAGCAAGAAGGCTCTGCAGTAAGCAGCCTTACACACTACTACAAGGCCAACAGCCACTGCCCCAGTCTGCCCCAAGGTACCTAAACTCTGACTTTACAGGTCAGGACTCAACACAGGAACTGTCTGCCTCCTGGCTAGGGAGGGGGTCACATAGGGTCTGTGTGTTTTAACAGTCCAACAATATTGCAAACAGCAAAGATGCACCATTCGCTGTCAGGAAAACAAACCACCTGCATTCTCTACTATCCTGAATTTTCAACATGTCCCTCGGCTCCCTCCATAGAGACAGGGATTGAAGAGGGAAAAGCAGCACAGCTCAGGAAAGCAGGGAACTGGCTTCTTCCCAAAAATGTTCAGTTATAGGTACGTTCAACAGTAAATATGAATCGAGGGGATTCGTCCAACCCATTGTGCTTACAAAGGCATAATTAACTTTGCTGAGAAATCACCTACACTACAATATGTAATTCATATTCTGTATACAGATCTTCCCCATGAAGCTCAGGATTCCCTGTCCCCTACCCCCCTTCCATTTTCCCCGGACTGGCTCTACTTCAAAATGAAGACATAAGTAGCAGATTCCAGTAAGTCTCATCATGGTGAAAACCAAAGGGTGGTAAGTCTTTAGCAATGATAAGGGGAATTACAGCTGGTTTTGGTGTAATAGCAGCCCATGTAATAACAGTTTGGTATCTTGCTTATTTTCCAACCCTCAAAAATCATTACAATTAATCCAGTTAATTGAACTATTTGCATAATTATATATTGAAGTGAGATTAAGAAATACCACACAAATTGTCATACACACTTGCATACACCATGCCTGCATTTACCTACTTGCCTATAAAAGATCTGAAACCAGTTTTCACTGCAGTCTGCAAGTACAACATGATGTCCCTCTTTTTAAAAACTTCAAGTATTATGGGGTAAGATTAAGAAAAAAATACTTAGGGGAAAAAGGACACAAAGGGCACTTCACGTTTCTCTAGCTGCAAAGGGAACAAATCAAAGACTTCAAATTTGCCTAAGAGCACCAAGAGTTGGATCTCTGTACAGAAGATAGGTTTGCTTCATCAATTTTCACAAAATTGAAGTAAGGTTTTTTGCAACAATACCAGCCTCCCAGCCAAATCATCATACTGTATATATCAGAATATACTGTCATAATTCTGAAGACATTTCTTAGTTCTCCTGTAAAATTGACAAGATAACAAAAAATGTGTGATATGCAGAAAGACCATTTAAAAAGCAGACTTGGAGCTGTCACAAATTGAATTTTGACCTGACTGAAGAATTTAATGGGTTTTGTGGTTTGTTCTAGCATTTTTTATGTGGCTTCCCTCAGCAAGCTCTTCTCCTAACGGTCCTTCAAGCAAATATGTAACTCCTTGCTTCTAGAAATACTGTCTCATTTGATTTTGTCTACATTTAAGTGGTGTTTGTTTTGTTTTGTTTTGTTTTTGTATGAGAGAGAGACATAACAAATCCTCTATTGCTTGACTTATACACTCTGAAAGTAAAATTTCTGTATCTCAACCATACTCAATTCAGAATCTATATACTACTATACTATAGACCCATTTAAGATCTGTATTGCCTCATACTATGCTCCTCACAAAAAGCATCATTGCACTGATACAAGTCATAATAATGCAAAATGTAATGGTGCACAAAGTCACCATTCCCTCGAGCTATTAGGCTAGCACAAAGCAACAGCTTTTGTTCTGTGCCTCATACAGGGAATGTGAAGCAATGGCGATTACACAGACTGTCACCATAGCAAAGGATTCTTTCATTGCACTGATGGCTGTAAACATGTTACATACTGTTTATGAGGGGTGTAGTGATGCTTGAAAGGTCCTCAGGAAATTGAAAGATTAATTATTGCACTTAAAATACTACCAAGATAATAGATAAACCTTGAGAGGCAGCTGACAGCAGCCATCAATTCCTCAAGGAAGCATTTGTTCTGTTTCCAAAGTGACTTGCTACTACGTAGCTCTAGATAAGATGTGTAAACAGCTCTCTATAGGTAAAAAGCAAGGCTTAACAATCACTTCCCAGGAGAATATGAGTTGTAATAGCTAGAGCACTAAAGCTGGGCTGAAGTTAGATCTGAGCACCATCCTGGTCCTCCCTTTCTAGAATATACAGATTCTGGATGCCTCCACAGCTCCAGGCCAACCACTTCCCAGGGTCCTTGCTCCTCTGCCAGCCCTACAAAACCTACATATTTCTTATACTTCAGACTGGAAGATGCAAAGTATCTCCTATATTTGTTTCTCATGATCCAATTTAAACATGAATGGAAAAAAAAAAGCCGTTATGGTTAGCTTTCCAGGCAGAGGAGAACTTATTTTGACAGAGATATTGAAGTAAGAGGAATGGTTGTGAAATTAGTTTTCCTCCATCTTTGACCAACCCAGCTGCCTTACTATCCACCTGGGTCATGTCCAGGAGGATGAGAAAGAAAGTTATGGTCAAAGGGAAGGCCTGAACACTGGTGAGAACCTCTAGACATGCTAGGATGGGAATAGTTATCACAGCCCTCGGGGGTTTCATGGGATGGAGGCAATTTATACAGATGTCCTTGCCTTTAACACACATCAAGCCTCATCTCCCCTGCTTAGTATCTAGGAGAGACTATGTAGACATCAGTTCTAGTCACAAAAGCCAACCAAAATCAAAATATAGATAAAAAGGAATTTATCAGAGTCCTTAACACTGCACAGACACTTGAGTGAGTCCTTCCTAAAATCAGTCTGATTTCTTACACTTGCTGTCAAGACTTTTTTCATGGTGACTGTAAAGTCTGTGCAGATTTCATTCCAGTATGCAGTGCTAACACAGTACGCTGTGGACCGATGACGGCCCTAGCAGGCCGCCAGCAGTCAGGAATGGCTTCTGGCAGTTCTCTACACAGTGAATAGCCAAGATAATAAGAAAAGCAAGAATTTCCTTGATGAAATTCAATTTAAAGAAGACCACAGGTTTAGGTATGCAAACAGCAGACTTGAAAAAAAAAAATAAATCTGTTCTGCTTTTCAATGAGTTTTCAGTCTAAATCTGGAAATCAACACAAGCATTCACAGCACTTTCAACTTCAGAGGAGCAATAAAACAAGCAGAAACTAAAAGGGAAAGGTCATATATTTTGTGCATGCTTGAGAAATGATGCTGTTTCTATGATGATGGCAACAGTTTTTTCTAGTTTTCCTTCTTCAAATGTATTCGCCAGTAACTGAGAGTTGGAACATTTGCAAAACAGCATTGGTTTGTAAAAGGTGTAAAGGACATCCATATGGATACACAAAGGCATAAACTGATGTCAGTGCAAAGCAGCCACCTAACCCTTCGAGGTTCAAGAAAAACTAGCAAAGTTATATGCACATTCTTCCAGTCTGGATTACTTTGGCTTAACTGTTTGTTCACAACTGCTCTCTGATGCATGTTGTTTAATGCTCTGTTCCCACTACCTTCAGTCTACCCAAATGAGATTCCTCTCATGTTCCAGCTTCATGTGCCATCCCTTTCACTTGCTTATCTAATATAGGAGCCTGGCATGAAACAACCTACATCTGGAGTCACACAAACCATGCCTTTCACCAAAACTGTGCAAAATTTAGCAGTCTTGATACAATACTTACACACGTGGCACATCTGGACATTCCCAGAGGTTCCTTGAACATGGGGTGTTGGTGAGCAGAGCTAGGGCCAAAAGTGCCACAGGAGGCTCAAAGCAAGCCACAGGAGCCCACATGCATGAGTCTAAGTGTAACACTGCTTAAATTCATGTACAGAGAGATGATTTTTCTGCTGTAGTTTGGAGCCCCTGAGTAGATGGTCTGGCTGTGGTTTTTGTCACACTTCAGAAAATGAGCTACAGGTAAAGTGTCTAGAGGACACACTGAGGTAATTTGTCAAACTCTGACCTTGCCTCCAGCCAACAAATTGCACCCATACAGTGTGAAGGCTCTTTGCATCCTTCCTTAAAATGAACTGAGACACAAATCCACCCTCTTTTTCTCCACGTGGAAGAGGAAGCTTCCAGTTTTCACAGAGAATACATTTCTGCCCACATCACTCAAACTTATTGATACAATCTATCTCGTGGTATTGCTATGAATTTATCAATACGGGAAATTGTTCTTTTAAGTTATGAGAAGAGCAAAGATACTTCACTATGGGTTACTAAAAGCTTTGCTACCTGAATTTTGGCTAATAATATTTCAAAGGTCAAGAGTTATTTTTTTTCCCCTAAACTTTCCCAGACTGAAAATGCACCTTTATAAGCCATTATAACTTTTCCTCCAATACAGAGATGTACTATATTTTTTGCCCCTCCTCTGTTCTTTGCTTCAGCTGTAAAGCAGCCTAGATTTCTGCTTACTTTCTGGTGTGCAAGAATAGGATAACCTGCAGTCAAGAACTAACGACAGATTTTTACAATCATCTGTGCAGCACAACTGTGCTTTCTTCAAACCTCTCAAAATTACACTTATTACAGCTTATTAAATCAATAATTCACAAAAGTTGGTGTGTAATCTTATGCATACACTTTACCAGCAAGAAAAAAATATCTAACTTTTACTGAAATAACTTTTTTCCCTGTTCTTTACAAGAAAAAAAATCAAATGGCATGTTGAACGCACAAAAAGGAAAAATCATCTCCCATCTACCATCTGTAGTAATCTATACCATGTATAGCATTTACCATGCTATAAATAGTCCATTGTTTAGTAATGATGCCAATAGATATGGTGCCTCTCAGCCAAAAAAAAACAACAACCCAAGCCTCATTATAAATCAAAGCATAATGTCTTTCGGACACTCAAGGTTCACGGGATAATGTGAAATAAAATCTGCTCTCATTTATTAATTTTATACTTGCATTATGAATAATGTAAGTGTGTGAATATTTCTATTGCACACAAAACAAAGCTGTATTTGTATATTTTCAATTGTAAACTCAGGTTCTTTTCCAGGAGAGAATCATCAGGACTTACGGAGAACAGCTCAGCACTGAGGAGGAAGCACTTTGTAGACATTAAGCACATTTTCAAGGAAGAAACAGGGATTCCCTTGAATTTTGTGCAGTGCTAGGAGGAAATAGTGAGTCCAGAAATAGACAGATTCCTGAGAAACAGATCATGAGAGATTACTACCACTCTGTCACCCAGCTGCCTTTCACACCTTAATCCGTGTTTGTCAACTGTCATCAAGATGCCTCCCTCCTTCTGCTGTAACCAAGGGTATCTTAAAAAAAGCATATATCCATACAAACAAACCAGCTTTCATTTTCCTTGTAGTGACTGACAAAGTGAAACATCAGTCAAAGCTGCAGCTTTTAGACGCACCCCCATATGTAAGCACAGAAGAAAAAGGTCTGTTCTGTTTCTAGATGAAGCAATAGTAGTTTCTCAACCTGAACAACGATCATTCTGCTTTGACAGTTACTGCTGGTACTGCTAGGCTGGCTTAGTCATGTTGAAAGAGCTAAAACTGGATCAGACCAGGGGCGCTACTACTGGGCCCTCCAAAAAAGGCCAGCTAACTCCTTCAGGGATGGTGGCTACTGCTCCTGAGCTGTCTGCACTTTTGCTGTTACCTGTTGTCTGGCATTGCTGTACAGCCCAGTGTGGTCTGGAGCCATCTGAAGGTGGCTGTAGGCTGACCCCTCTGGCACGTCCAGCAGTCTCACATGCTCTCATCCCCTCTTATCACACTTGCTTGAAAGATGCACCGGTGTCCTGTGTAAATAAATGTTACTGCACAGCTCTGTAGCTTTTGAAGCAATGGTGCTCAGAGCACTCTTGCACCATTAATCCACCATGCAGGGCCACAGCTCTTCTCATTCACACAACCAGAGAGCTTTTCAGTTTTGCATTCAGGGATGTGCCTTCTCTTCACTGGATTCTCAATGAAGCAACATGTGGACTTGCCAGGGCCTTGCTACTCTCTGGAAAATAAACATTAATTCTTCTGCAGAAAAAGTCTACTATTGTTTCAATAACAACTAGCAGTGCATGCTTTTTCCCTGGTGTACAGCAGTTAATGCTCTTTGAGCTCTCTTGCTTCTGCTAGTCATCAGCATCAAAATTTATACTGGCCTCACAGAATGCTAAACTTAGAAGTGGCCAGATTCAAATGCAGATACAGATTTGACATTTAAGATCCTTTACCTAATGTGTTTTTCATACTGGATGCTAAACCACAGAGCCACATCATTGATGAAGTCTCCTTGATAAAAAGGTCATGAATTAATGAGGTTTCATTATTTTTATATTTTCATTAAGAACTAAAAAAACCCTTATAGAATAGAAGTGGTATTCCAGGAGTCCCATGAAGACAGTTCTTCTGGGTTTGAAAACACCTTGCATATTTCCAATAGCCAACATTACCACTTTTCTACTACTGCCTTTGTACACTGCACGACAGTCTTAAGATAGGCTTAAATCTTATTTACTTAAGGTGTAGTCTAGATGAAAATCAGAGACAAAGCATTTGGCTATGTTCAGCACTTGCAATCATATACTTGGAATTCATGAAACAGCATCCTTTGAAACACAGATATTTAAAGTTCCTCTGGTGAACAGCACTGGGTTCCCATAAGCACATTCTCACCACCTTAAACACCATAGCTTTTATCAGCTTAAGCTTTGCTCCAAGGTACCAGCCCCATTTGATATACCAGCAGCTTCTCAAAAATGTGACAAAGTAGCAGCCCAGGTTTTCACACATATTATGCTACTAAATTAATGACTGAAAAATAACACATATTTCTTAATTCAAACTCTCTTACAGATATCCATGCTTCCTGCTTAGTTTGTCTTCCGCTATATTTAAAGTCTGGAGGCTTTTTCTCCATGATTGACTGAAGTGCTCTTTTTAATGCAAGTGAAGCCAAGCAAATTTTAGTATCTTCTTAGCATTTGTGGTTCAGTGTGAAAGCTCTATTTGTCTCTTGGTGAGACAGTTTCCCTGCACAAAGAACTCGGAATATGTAGGAGGCCCTTCTGCCTTTACAGCACAAGGCTTGGAAATAGGAAATGCAATGCCTTGTTTCTGTGCTACAGGTGCCTTATTGCAGTGTTGTGTGGTTATGTCCTTAACCTTACCTGCTTTTTTGATATTGTGGTGGTCGTGTTTTTTTTAGTCCATGCATTTACCTACAGAAATACTGTGAAACTGCTAAGTGCTATAAGTGCATATATAAGTGCATACCCTCCAAGTGATAAAAGGGCAGCTACTACAGACCCCCACTATTAAGTGCTATAATTTATATTTCTCTTTGTTTTGTTTTTTTTTTTCCTCCAAGCTATCCCATTTGGCAAAATCCCCATTCTGGAAGTAGATGGAGTTATCATTCACCAGAGCCTGGCAATAGCAAGATATCTAGCCAGAGAATCAGGTAACATGTTTAACTATTATCTTGCTTTGTTCTGCACCCACCTTTAATACTGAGGAAAAACACATCCTACACATCAAAACCAAACCAACAGCTTGACAAGCCCAACCAAGCAGAAATCAACACAAGTGTGGCAATACTGGTCCTAGGCCTTTTCCCTGGCACAAACTGCTAGTAGTTACCAGCCTCTGGTGGCATCTGTGGTTTGTCTGCCATAGCCAAGTGCTGAGCACAGAAATGCAGTGTATCATATAGGCTGCTATTAGAGATGCTGCTCATAGAGCAAAGGTTCAGAAAGGACCAAGAAGTGTTGTGTTGTGGCACATCCATATTCAGTGGCCTTCCTTACTGTAATTCCATGCTTGTTTTGCTTGCTCGGTTGGGACTGCTGTGCCAATCCTTATGAGATCTCAGGCTACAGCCCCTGTGGTTCCAAGATCAGAAGAAGGAACACCAAGGCAAATCTGCTAGTATGCTGTGACAAGGTTTGGAGTCACCCAAATGTCACCTAGAATGTGAAAGTGTGTACTTAAAGGAAAACTCAGAAATAATCTCCACTTACATCTCATTGAGTTTCCCCTCTCCACACAATACCTGGGGTTTGGGCTGACTTCTCCATCCAATAAACTTTACATTCACCTGTTGCTGGACAACAGAAAGCACTTACCTAGGGTATAATTTTTGTTGATTCTGAGTCAAACTATGACACTCAAAGACTCTCAGAGTAGCTTCCCCTGGAACTAAACTTAGAGCTGCCAGGCTAACCAGAGAGAGGACCAGGAGGAGGAGGAGGTTTAGGAAGCATTAGAGATTATCACAGTCAGCAGGCAGAGCACTCTGAATCAGATTTAGGCAGCAATTCTGAGCTGGTAGAGAGATTAGATCAGATGGGGACATCACTTCCATCTTTAAATACTTACATGCTATGGAAGTACTCAACCAGTTAGATAAAGCAATATAAGAGTTAGTACTGCAAGTAATCAAAGAGAGTAGTCAGGGCTTGCTTTAGGTCAGCAAGATGTCATTCAAAACCATCTGCAAAATTCAGGTCAAAGGCAGATGTGTTCATGGTGTGCTGAACATCAGCAAATTGAAAAGGGGGGCTGGAAAGAAAATCCTATCCTACTTTTTTTACACTCTGAGCAAAGGGGTATAACCTGTCTTTCAAAATATCTCAAATTTTCCAACTGAGGAAACAGGTAGAAGTGCAGAGCCTTATTCTTCAAGGCACTAGCACAACACATTTTCAAGCCTGTCTGCAATACTGCCCCCCTGCCAATTCCCTCCATCCTTGACATCATCTACCACTTGCAAGAGGAGAGTACAATGAGCAGCCAGCTGGTAGTCCTCCCTCCCCATCTCCTGTCTGGAGGCTGATCTGGAGCCATGCTCCTTTGACAGGCTGAAGTTCTGACATAGGCGTTCCCCTGACACCTTTTCCACTGGCTTGTGACAGCCACACAGGCTGGGGTGCATGTAAATCCTAGTGCACTCAGACCATGCTGTTCTCCTTTTGGTGTTAATCACGGTGTCAGCTACAGCAGGGAAAAAAGCTGGCATGGAAGGGGGGAAAATTAATTTCAAATTCATAGTGAAAACTTGTAACTTCTGCTGTTAAACCTGCATACGTGTCACCAAGGTTTTAAAATTAAGAAATGGCAATTTTAGGTGCTTGTCACTAACAACTACTCACTGAAGGCTCACAGAACTTCATGCCCAAGAGGAGAGGCACATCCCTTGCCTTCAAAAGCATAGTTTCAGTAAGGGAGATAAATTAGCAGATGAAGGGCATATGGTTTACGGGAGCCACAGAGCTTCCAGTTGAGGCTTAAGAACCAAGAGAAGAAGAGAAGGATGTCATGAACCTGCACAGAGGTGAAAGCATGAGTGCAGGTCTGTGGAACCTGGATGAGGGAAAAAAAGTAGTAGCACTGAGAAGATTGCAGGCAAGTCAAAGGACAACAGAAAAGGAAAGCAGATTTGAAAAGAAGACAAAATTTGGGTAAGGTGCCTTATTACCATGAAGTAACTATGAAGTAATCAAAACCATGCAGGATGTTATAAGAAGGTTCAAAATGGGGCTGAACAGGGAGGACAGAAAGACAGCAAAAGCAGTCAACTTTCACAGAAGCTCTTAGGGAAGTTGGGTTCAGAGATAGAAAGAGCATGAGATGGAGAAGGACATAAGACAGTTGCAAGAGGCAAAGACTAACAGACAGGAATTAGTGCTGATCCTCACTGAATGTACTGGAATAGTGGAAAGGAGAGAGAAGGATAAAGAGGCCATGGGCTCAGGTGATGGGAAGACCAACTCACTAACTTGGATGGATATATGAGGCTGAGCAGGGAAAAAGGCAAATGCAGATTAGATTGCATCTGGATACAAGGAGTCAAATGCAAGTTGTTAGCATCAAAAAAGCCCTGGAGAACACGTATGTTTATGGAAATATTCACAAAGAACAGAGTGTACCTTTGAGGCCACCAAAAATTCCTGCTAATATTGTCTCTTAACCACCCTTCATATGCTTTCTTCCCAAAGGTCTGGCAGGTCAGACGCCTGTGGAACAGGCACTAGCTGATGCCATTGTGGACACCATAGATGATTTCATGACGCTGTTTCCTTGGGCAGAGAAAAACCAGGATGTTAGAGTAAGACAATCACTAATTTAAACAAAGAATGCAGATAAGCTGTGACTCTGTACCTGAGCATCACCTCTGGAGAAACTGCTGTGTGCCAGCTCCTGAGTTCCTCCTCCAAGCTAATCCAGCCAAGGTTTTCTGCTCCCTCTTACTTCCTGGTCACCAGAAGTTTTTCACCCTCAGTGGAAGCAATGACGAGGCTATCATGAGCCGCCCCTCACTGGTTCACTTTGAATTAAGAATGCCCTATGTGTATAAATCAAACTGCTCTTCAGGGGGAAAGAGGATATTACTACCCCAGTTAGCACTAAGCAGTGACTGTATCTTGTTGCAAACAGATAAGAGCAAATCTTTCTCCTTTTTGTAACTGCACAGGATGAACAGCTTCAACCCATCCTCCTTTTGCCCTTCCACATCTTGATTTCTACTTGACTTTCAATAAGTATCAATCTGCAATAACATCAGCTGCCAGGGACAAATGCTTTCCAGTGACCAGGATGCTGTAGGCCAGCAGGTGCTGCTGAAGAGGGCAGGCAGCACAACCCGCACTGTCACTGCAGTCATGCTTTCCAGACCCCCACAGCCCCACTTCGGTCCTCTGTGGTGCCTCTGCAAATACTGATGCCAGGCTAACGTGCTGCCCTGGCTACTTTAACACACAGTCATGGGCAAGTTCTACAGCATTTTGGGGTTTTTTTTTGGCCTCTGGCCAGCCCCTTTCACCAGAGCCCCAGATGCAGGCATGCAGGTCTGCTGGGGAAGACTGGGTCGTTACAAGGGCTCCACATGACTCTGACTCAACCCGATGACCTGACACTTTTCAGGAAAGTGGTAGCGTAACAACGGATTTCCCCATTAAGTACCAGTGCAGCCATCTTCCATATACTCAAAGGCAACATGTCAGAGAGGGTAATTTTATTACCCAAACAACAGAGTAGAAAAACAAATAATAAATAATTAGACCATACAAAAGTGCTCTGAAATCTTGCAGGGGAAGATCTGAAAGTGTATTTGGAGGTCTTAAGTATTGATAAATGTGAATTACTGAATCTCCTAGTGACCTCCGGAGGTTTCCTCACTGGCGGGGGAAGGCTGACCCGCCACCTCGGACTCACGCACTTCTCCAAAATAAGGACTCAAATCATATCGCCAGTGATTAATTTAAAAGGGAGGAGGGTCCAAAGGCAACCCTTGTATGCCTGTAGGCACGTATGCACGCGAGGGAGTGTTTTGGCGCCAAGGAAGGTTGGGGAAACTTGCTTTCTGGGAATCTCTTCACATTCCTCTCGCTATTAGCTGTTCTCCCTCTCTCCTCCCGGGTCTGCTGCCACCACCTTGTGGTAGGAACTGGCGTCTCGTGGTCTCACAATGCCAGATGTGACTTAGACACAGTACTAAGTCAGAAAGTTTCCCCAGGCTTGAGAAGTGATTAGAAGCTCACACATCCCTCAGAGCAAGATGAAAGGATATGTTAGGCGATCTAGCCAGTATCAAGGTGAAAACTAAGCAAGGTGAATGGAGCAGAAGTGGGAGCTGCCCATGGGAGCTCCCTCCATGCCAGGCACAGACTCTCCCCTCACCTCACCCCCCCCCTCCAAAAAAATAGCTGGCACGACAGCAGCTGTCTCAGGCATTGCTGGAGAGCCCCAGGGTGGAGACAAGTAGGCTGTGCTGACCCAGAATGTGGATCCTGGTCACGTCCCCACCTGCTTCATGGGTCGACTGAATACTTCTGTAGTTGGGGGAGGTCATTACCCTCATAAGCACACAATAGTTTGGGGTGTTTTTTTGTTTTGCAGAGGGGCAGTGGACCTTACCCAAGAATGGATAGAGTATAAATATGAAATTTCTGGACCGCAAACTTCTGGCTGTTACTTTGAGCCATAAAATGCAGTTTCTAAGCTCTTAACAGACAGCAGAAAATTTTGTTGAACGTATCTACACAAATACTGGACATTGGAAATATATTTTATAGATTAATTCACCCTAAATCTATGGCTGGGCTTGTCTCGCAGTGGCTGGGTGGCTATTAGCACAGATAAACAAGCAGCATTGCTCCATACGTTGTCCTCAGCATCCAGGAGCTACTAGGTGTTCATTAAGGGAGTAATCGGCTCAAGTCATGGCTCACTGAGCCACAAATGCCATGTTTTGGTTATCTAACCCACTTCATGGTTAAGTACCTCAGCTTTCCTCAATTCTATAGTGCCCCTACGCATGTATCCAAAGGGGAGTTACCCCTGCATTTTTTCTTGATTTAAATAATTGCTGTTTGCTGTATTAATCCTAACTTAGACATTAACAGATTCCTTCTTCTAAACAGAACTAAGAGTACACCAAAATTTGGGTCAGACAAAATTACTTCACTGACACCTTTTTCAAATTTCAGGTTTTTCACAAGTAAGAAACACCCAGAATTTCCATTTTGCTGACTCATGCATTGGTGTGTGTTTTTGTTTCCTTCTTCCTCTAGGAAAAAGCATTTGATGATATCCTCACCAACAAAGCACCAGAGTTACTGAAAGATTTGGATACTTTCTTAGGGGATAAAAACTGGCTGGTAGGGAAGTCTGTAAGTATGATTTTTGTTTCTCCCATTCTGATAAGCCTGCCAGAAAAATAAAATTTGACCATTGTTGAATTTCTGGATTTCATGTCGACCTGTGAAACAACTCTTTTGATTCTTGTTCTTACTAACATGTAATCGTTCACTCAATTGCCAAGTGAAAAAATTTGTTCGTACTATTAGAAAAATGAGGGAAACTGCATTTTCTAAACCAGATTAGTAGTGTGTTGATGCAAAACATTACAAATGCCTCTGCACTAGTCAGTACTTACAGGAGTTGCCCAGAACTCTCCTTATAATCACTGATCAATTTATAAATTGTACGAAAAAAACATAAATGAAAATGTAATTCCATTTTTTACGTGAAACTGTCTGGAACCTAATTAAAACACTTTTCTGCAGCACAGTTTCAG